GATGGACTTCACATTTTACCCTGTTTTGGTTTTACGGATTGAGACATTCTCGGACAAAAAGGGAAAAATATTAGACTCAAAGGACTTCTAATGAGAATTTCCTGCTTCCAGTTTGAGGCTTGGTGAAGAAAAAGAAGAAATCCCTTCCAAACTCTTGGTCTATTATTAATTTTTTTTTTTAATTATATATTTAAACCTGTGGCTTAATAATTATTAGGTAAAATATGACAAAGGCCAACTCAGTGTGAAAGATCAGGAGCTGCAGTATTGCTTTCTGTTGTCTTTCCTTTTTCTTCCTAAAGAATGTTTCAGGTCACCCATGTTTTAAAGGGATCATCCCTATTCATGGCATGGGAAGAGGAGAAAGTATTTTTCAGTAGTAATCATTAATTATTTGTCAGTAGCTATTATTTTTCATCAGTTCATCTTGCCTTTCTCTTAAAATTAAGACTATTTTTTAGTTTTGTATTTTTGATTTGAAACCCAGAGAAATGTTGTCTCTTTTTATATAGTAAATTAGCTGGCATTGGAATTTTACTGCTCTGCAGCATATTTGTTCAACTTTTGTAACTCCTTCTGAAAAAGGGAGAAAATGGCTAACAAATGTGTAAGATTCAGCTTCTTAAAACTCTCAGGAAGAACAACTAGCTGTTGTTGTTGTTGAACAGAAAGCTGTTGGTATCCTTTGTGAGTAAATGAGGGAATGGCTAAATAAAATGGCAGCCTACTACTTTGTTTACTAAGTCTTTGGGTGAAAATCTAGACATTTCTGGTTTTGTGGTAGTTCTATCAAGTCTTAAATCCAGTCACTTCCAAACATGAAGACGGTGTCTCTATTTTGAATAGTGAGATGTCATTCAATGGAAGCTGCTACTATTATTGAAAATCCTAATTATTGAGGGACTGTTTCTACCAAAGGTAGTTTTAGTTTTATGCTTAATGTTGTAAAGTGAAAATGTAACTTGTTTTAAAATAGTTTTAACTAAATTATGAGAAAATAAAGTATGTTCATCTCAATTATGTATTAATGGTAATACAAATTTCCCTTATTCTGAGTGACAAGTTTTCCTAAGCTCTTTTTCATCTATTTGAAAACATGGCTGATATATTGAAAGCTTCTGGAAGATATTAGTATTTCTTAATGAAGTGGTGCAGAGTAGGTAAATTTCAGGGTTAACTCTTCAGTACAGATCAATAAAAGAATAGAGAAATAGTGTGATTACAGAAGCTGAAAATCTGGCCCAGTGCTTTGAATAACTAATTCTTTGCTTGACGCTGGAAATCTTTCTTGTTGCACATTACAAAGAGCAATTTTTGTTTGTTTTTAATTTCTAAGGCCATAGAATTATATAAATAATTCCATAAATTTTCCCATATATGAAACACTGTTCTACATCCAATTTCTAGTGATGCACATGCAGTGTAACACCATCCATTAAAAAAAAAAAAAGGCTTCCTTATTTATGCTTTATTTTATTTTAGAAGATGGCAGAGAACACAAAGAAGAAATTGATACTTGCATTTCTACTTTCAAAATGCTTCAAAGAAGCATAAAACAAAGGCTTTGGAATACAGTTTTCTTTATTTTCATTGTAAATCATATTCATAGAGTAGTCTTTTTTTTCCCCCCTTAGTCTTTTAATCATTTGTTTACCATGGCAAAATAAGTATTCTCATATTTTGATCTATGCCTTTTCTTTTTGTGTTTTCTGGGCCAGAAGTAGAAGAATGGCCAGTCAATAAGCAGAAATCATCATACTGAAAAGAAAAACATGATTTAATTGTTGTCAATTCATGGGCATTAAAATTCAGATACATTGTGAAATACAAGATAAAGACAGAGAACATGAATTGATTCTAATGATAGAATATTCTCTCATGAACAGAAAATAGCACAGACATTTATCCAGTTCTTAAGCTGCTTTTTAAAGTTTTTATCTAAGCACCTAGCTAGCTTACTCAAAAATAAGAAAACATCCTGTCATTTGACATTATAAAAGGCAATGGAGTCAGTAGCTGTAAAAATAAATATAATTCATGTCTTTTTGTCTATTTGTGCCCACTTCTCAGGTAATCATACAATTTTTATGGTTTTTATACCTGCTTACATTAGAACTAATTATTTTTTTCATACAAACATATTTTCATCAAACTATCCAATTAATTGTATCTGTTATAATAATACATAATGTTGTATATCAATACACAGATCTAAATCTAGCCTGATCCCAAATTAGACTATTGGGCTCTTAATAAGTAACAAGATGAGTGTAAATTCACATACTGCGACTCCATTACATGAACCTATGATTCCTAGCAAGCAATATCTTCAATGCGAACTTACAGGCATAACTGAAAGATAAATTTGGCCATCTGTGATCATATGCCAGCGCAGCATCTCTCTGGAGACCTAATTCCTTGTTGCCCTGTGGTCTCTTTGTGCTGCCAAGCTGGGAGCTCAGGGGCTTTCCCTGGAGCTGAGGGATCACTTGGGTGGTGCAGAGCCTGCTCAGCCACCGGCCCGGGGTGTGGGTGACGCACGAAGCAGGGGTGGGTTGGGGAGATGCTACGCCCGGGCTGTCACAGCGGCAGTCCGGAGATATGGAAGCAGAAGGCATAAGCTAGCGCAAGCCTGAGATTGCTGTGATTTAGGACCTGACCAGCCATCTCCAGAGCGTTGCAAAGTTGGTGAAAGGCTGAATTTGCCTTTCCCGCAGTGCCTTTGGTCTAGCAGTGAGGGCACTTTAGCCAGCCCCACGAGTGGGTTGGATGTGTACATTTTTTATGCAGGCAAAATATAATCCCCAGTCCTGCAAAAAAGATGTGTCTGGGTTAAACCCTGTGAAGGGTTTCCCTGGAGAGGTAAAAAAAAAAAAAAAAAAATTCATGAGGGTCACTTAACCTCTGTGCAATAGGAAAACCATGCAGCCTCCTCCAGATCTAGCAGATCCTTGGGGAGGATAGATCCAGCTGCATAAAAGGTTTCCCTCTTTACAGCAACTCTGGATCTAGCTAGGGTAACAACTGGGATATTCCCTATAGCTTTTCCCATGCCACAACCTCCCTGCCCAAGCTTCAGAAAAGACTATGAAATAGTCTGCCTCTTTGTCCATGTTTCTGAAGGTTAGATGGGGGAATAACATGTATTCCTCTTGGTCATGGTCCAGTCTTGCATATCCCATTCCTTATCCTGTACGGATATTTTCCATTTCTCTTTCCATTTCCATTTTTTTCTCCAAAAGGTTCAGAAAAGGTTCTGAATGGCCTGAGAAAATGTGTGAAATGGACACTGATTTTAAAAAATGGTTGTTCAGAAAAGATTACATGGGTTTAGGGGCTTGACCTGTCATAAGTCTCTATCTATAGCTAAATGATAGAGTTTCCAGAAAATCCAATTCCTAGTGGATTAAAAAAAAGGGGGTGGGGGGGTTGGCACCGAGATTGCTTCATACGTATAGTATGAGCAAATATCCACAGTGGATGCAAATATCCTCAGAAGGATGGAAATTTGCCTCTGAGCTTGATGGGAATGAACTCCAATATAATACCTCTTACACTATGGTATCTTTCCACTACAATCCTACCATATATAGTTCCTGCTTTCTTCACAGAATTTTAAAACAGGACCACAACCACTCAGGGAAAGGGATTTATTTACTCATGTCCATGGGAAAATAAGTACACCAAACTGTTCGTGAAAGCATACCACTTGTGTCCTACTTGGATAAATACCACTATATCTCATTTAGATATGGAAACAATGGGAAGCTATAAAACTTTGCATAATACAAATATTGGTCCTCTGAAATCTTCATAGTCAGCAAGCGTAGAGTAGGAAAAAGAGTTCTCCATTTTCAAGTGGTAGAACCAATAATGGATACAGAATGTCAAAAACTGCCTAAGAGATTACTCAAGACCAAGATATTTTTAATCAGTGGCCTCTCTGTTTTTTGGATATCCAGCTTGAGACACCGTAAGTGTAGTAAATTTTCAGAAAGCCTTGAGCACCCACTCTCTGAAAAACTGGTTGCGTTAAGGTATCTGAAGATGAGCACCAAGAATTGCTGCATCCAAAATAAGTTTGCATGAGAAATCCAAATTCCCTCAAATTGGTACTTAGGGAGGACCTAGTGCTTTAGGCAGCTCTGAAAATCCTAGGCACCGTGCACAGTGCATGTTTATCTCTGACACTGGCAGATATAGGTAAACATCTTCCACCTAGACCACTGCAGATTTAGTGAAAAGAAGTATTTCAATACTTTTTTCTGTTAAATCTAAGGAGGATTAACTAAATAATACAGGGCTAGCGATACTATTTTTTTCATCAATAGTTAAAAAAACAGATGTAATTTTTAGATAAAAATGAGATGTAAGGAAATAAAGTGTTTTTTTCTCTTCTGAGACTTAATAGCTGGTTTCAGATTTTATTTAATAATCTTGTTCTAAGACAATAATTTTAATTTTTTTTTCTAATTTTTATTTCTTGTGATGTGTAAATAGGTAAGAAATATTAAATATTGTAATGTTCTTTCATTAAGACAATAACATTTCAAAGGCTAATGTAAAATCAAGCTGCTAAAGTTTACAATTTCTCTGACCAGCAGTTCATTTATACAACTGCCCTGAGTAGATGCTATATGCTGCTTAGCAAATGGCCTTTAAGAGTTTAAAAATAACTCAGTAAAGCTACTCAAATGTAATACAACACTTCTCAGGCATCTTTAATTGGAGTTAAGAAGAAAATAGGATTTTCTCATTAGTTAATTATTCACTCCTTCATCAATGACTTATACACAACAAAAACACAATTGAAATGTTCAGGAGAACTAATTGTGCTTGTTCCTATGCATGGAACCATGAGCTTATTTTTCAGAAAGGCAAGATTTTAAATTGTAAAACTAGTCCTATTTTTGTTTTAGCTGCTTTTATTAAACTCTGTGCTGTTCCCATGTGAAACCAGTGAAAGCAGTTATTTTCGATCCTATGTAGTGAGGTTTTTTTTTGCAAAACCTCACTGATCCCCTTTAACAAAAAGATTATCTTATTTCAAAATTCCTGATATAATTAATTTGCAGTGTTTCTCAAACTGATACAAATATGTAAAATTTGTGCTTTTAAAAGCTGCTGCTTTGAGTAGCCTTACATTCCATAATTGTGCCCTAGCAATCATCAAGCTCTATTGCATGCCCCATTCATGAAAAGTATATTTTGTTGGGATGATGTAGCTTAAAGAATTTGGCTCTAACACTTCCTTACCTAGAGCTTCCATTAAATTATATTAATTTAAAATATCTATGGAATGATACTTTTACAAAAATATTAAAAAAAAATATTAATGGCTTGGGTTTATGAAAATGACTCTTTACAGTAAGTAAAAAAGGTTTATCACAGTTTTGGTAACTTGCATGAGTTCATATCGAAAAGAAATCTTTCACATGTTCTTAATGAATTTAAAACTTTTGTGCTCTAGGTATTTTCAGTTGTATGCTCTGAAACAGTAGACACCATACAGCTTGTGCTTTTTATCAGGGAAGCCTACAAAGCGAACTGCTGCTTCGTTAGGACTGCAGCGTTTCCTTGGCCTGGAGATTGGGTAGCGGACGCTGCCATCAGCTAGCCAGCCGGCATCGCAGCGGTCGTACCCCAGGAGCTTCCAGGCGGCAAATATCTGGCCAACTTTAGCGATCTGAGCTCCATCCTTCAAGCACGCCTGAACAGCTTCGTCGTAGGTCAGCTTGGTCGGGTGAATTAGGTAGTAAAAACGACCTAGTAAGAGAAAGAAGGAAAAAGGGTCATTAGCGACATGATTAAGACGATTTGATATAATAAAGGTGGTTTGAGGGGAAATGGGAATGTTCCACTGCAGAATCATATCAAACACTGGTTGATTTGGGACTGTGCAATTTGTACATTGTGCTGTTAAAAATATCTTAGTTATTTGTACAGTGAGTTGATAAATATCGGGAGGGAAAAAAAAAAAAGGCATGCAGAGAATACAGACTATTCAAACAAAAAAAAGTAGCACTATATTTATTTCTGCTAAGTTAGTGCAGCGTGGCATCCACGCCCTCACTTGCTTTCAGTGGTAACTGAACTGTTGCAACGCATATTCATCCTCAGAGGTAGAAAAACAGCAGTAAAAATGTCAGGGGATAGGCATGATAGAAGACACTCTGGGATTCGGAGGAGGGCACCTGTTCTGCATCTGACTTTATGGTGCCAGATGCATTTACCAACAAGGTGCCAATGACAGTGCAGTCAGATGTCTGAAGAACCCCGTAGATTTCAGGCAAAGCAGATCTCATGCAGCTGTAGCCTGCTGTCAGAGAAGGGAAATCGGTTAAACACGCAAAGCAGTGCACTTCTACCTTATGCTCCCAGCGTTAGCTTAAACCCTTATGAGTTTTCCTTTCAGAAGCATGGCATAGCAAGATCTGGCCTTTGATAGCATTTGGGTGAGGGTGGCTGGAGGTAACACATGCAGTTTTACTCTCTGACAAGGCGGTGACCTTGTTTCTGATTAAGTACAAGCACAATTTTATTTTTTTTTCTGTAAGAAAGCCGAGATATTGCACAGCTTCTCAGAAGCAGCGTTCAAGCCTGTGGTAGATCAAAACCATGCCTGTCGTAAGTCTTCATTAGCAGCGTCAAAACCACACGCAGCAGTTCTGCAGCTCTGTTTCTCTTTAGGCATCAAAGGGTATATCCTCACCATAAGACGGCATTGAACTGATAGTGCTGCTAAGAAAAATATGTTTCCGTCTCACGGTACTGAAAACATATGCCAGTAAGTAAAGCTCAAAAAGGAAGTCTCCCCTACTAATCCATAAGCAGCAATAATACTAACATTAATTTCATTTATCAAGGCAATATAAATTCATCGTAAGCCTTTCATTCATTATACTTAGGGTTATTTATCATCACTGATTTCACAATTAACCAAATGAGAGGTAGAAATGGATTGCAGAGGAATAGTGTTTATTTAAAGGAATAATAATTTCCAAATAAATGCACAACTTTTCAATCTGACTGTCCTGTAAGAGGCAAGTTAGCTGAAAAACAAAGGAATTTATTCATGTGGGGATCTTCTAATTCCAGAGCACACTCTTTACTTCTTAATTAAGAATGTACTCCAGAATAATACCCTTTTTCTTCCTCATAAAAAATAGGCAAACACACAAACAGAATTCTGCTCAGTTTCAGATTACTTTCTTGGTGAAAAAGAAGCAGTGAGCAAGATGAAGAGTTATGTCAGCTCCAGATCCCTGCAAAAAACACATAGCTTTTTTCTAAGTGAAGAAATGTCAGGCCAGATGACGATATAAAGATAATTGAATTAACTTTGTGTAAAGTTTGGAAATTGTATACCATGACAAGAACATTAAAATAAAAGGCATTTACATTGCAGCTGTGGTGGAGAAGAAACTTTTAAAAATTTCATTGGTGTCAGAGACAATATCTGCAGTATTTCCACAGAAAACTGTTGAGAGTAGATAATCTACCCTTTTGTAAAATGCTTACTTAACTCCATTTCAGCAAGTTGAGAGCATTTACAAGGTGTTGCTAAAGAGAATGTTTATTAAGTGGAAATCTGTTCCTACTATGTTATTAGGAGGTTTCCCCAAAGCAAACAGGATTTCAGACTTAGGGGAACAGGAATTTGGACTGATAGTATGTAAACTTCACCTAGCTTATTGGTTGCTCTTCAAACCATATGTCAATGGAATGTAATTTCCTAGGGATCTGCAGTAAGGTCAGGCTTTTGACATATGACATGAATAATAAAAACTCCTATACTCTGCCCCTTCCTTAAATAGGAGAACTCTAATAGTAAACCCCACAGGGGTGCAATGTGTATCCAGAATGTCTGATTAAATAAAATTCTGTTAATAAACTCAGTACAGATTTGCTGGTTTTCCCCTGCTAATAGGTTAGAAGGGTTCTGAACTGTTCAATCTTAGTATTTATTAATTGATGTGGAAGGAGAGGGAGGCATTAACTGTCTGTCTCTCATTAATATCTGCTAGTTGGGTCACTCCTACAGAGGATGAGCGTGCTTGATTTGACTTCTGACATCCAAATCATGGGGCAGAGGGTTTATGCAAACCTAATCAAACCCCATCTGTAATAGCTATTTTAAGCTTTTGCATGTAGCAGAACAGCTTAAAGAGGAAAACTTGAGCACTTGACCTAAGTACCCTACACCCTTGTGACTGTGGGAGTTTGAGAGATGCACCACCCTTGGAGATTTTTCCAAGCTCAGCTCTAAATCGAGAGATTTAAGAATAAGTTTTTATGTTGCAGCTGGGTGTACTAGACAGTGGACCATCATTTTCAGAAGCACAGAAAGGCAGTACCACCCTATTCGCTATTTTCTGCATGAAAGTGTTAGTGCAAAGCCTTCAAAAGAGGGTGCTTGGTGGAGTGCTCAGAGATGATGCCTCCATGTGCATCGAGTATCTAAGCACCAGGGCTCAGCCCTAAGACTACTCCTGACAGGTTACTTGCTTGCTGGGGCAGCCTCTTGCTCAACCTCATGGCTTCGATGCTATGCGGGGGCAGCCAAGCAGCAAGCTCTGCTTGGTGGGTGGCAGCACACGTAGGAGGAACTCTGAGTGCAGGACTGCCTTTGCACCCAGTGATCGACACGTACGCCGAAAAGCTTATGGCTGCAGAAATCAGTTAAGTTGTTTTACTGTGTAAAGAGCAAACTGCTCTAATTTGTGGTTTCATATGTCCATAAAAGGCATTCTCAGCAGCCAGCGGGGTGTATCCGTAGCTTGCACAACATGTAGACCCTGTAATCTGCTCAGCGGACTCGGTTCAATATATCTTATAGCAGTAGTAAATGGTTGAGAGAGGCCATCGCTCCTCAAAATTGAAGAACATGTTAAAAATTTGTGATGTGAGAACAATTTTTAAAAATCCTCTTCCAGCCCCCTCCAATATCAGCAGTGAATCTGGTGACTCAGAAGCAACCACTTCTAAGAATGTTATGAAATTTTCTTTTGGGGAGGTTTGCTTCTCTTTTTGGAAAAATGGCTATGTGTTCCCAGCAATAAAATATTCTGAAATGGTCAAATGAGCAGTCAGCATGCATTATTCAGAGATGGCTTTCTATTCCTTTCTCCCATTTAAATGGCGGAGGTGTTAGCTTATCACATGCATTACTGTAACAAACAGGTGGTTCACAGCTGCACTTTTAACATGACCCCTAAAATTTATTTTTTGTATCTTTAACTTTGTTAGCATGAGATTTTTACTTGATTCTGCTAGAGCTGGTAACGAATCAATTATGCACTGTGGTTCTGTGTGCAAAGTATATAACAAAATGTTAATGAGCAGAAAGTGTGATACAAGCTCTACTTATACCTTTTTTTCTTTGAAATTGCTTAATTATAGAGGAGCTGATAGATATGTTTATATTTAGCTCACTTAACACTTTTCAGTGCAAAAGATTCCCGTTTTTTTTTTTTCTTCCAGAAACTCACTGTTCTCTTTCAGAAACCCTTTGAAATTAAACAAAGAATAAGCACTCAGCTATACCATCATATGTTCTTTGTCCCATGCCTTTTGGGCTCTGTGGGGAAGACTGCAACAAAAGGATTTAGCTGCATTTGTTCCCCTGAATTGGTGTGTAGAAGCCCAAATTGACCTTCTAGAGGGAATGTATGGAAGAGGAGCATCCCCGTTCATTGGGGCAGGGATGGGAGAGAAATTGGGGTGGTCTGCAGCCCTTGCAAACCTTTGGATCATGGAAGATTGTCCCACCATGTGGGGCAGGAACCTTTAGTTTTTCTAAAGAGAACATGGACCAAAGTGGCTCCTACTGTGAAGGAAAAGCAGAGGAGAAATCGGTTGTGAGGGAGCGGAGCTGAGTGCACAGACATCAGGAAATTCCAACATGGAATTTCCAAATTTAAGTTAGATACTTCCCTGTCCTGGTTTCGTCTGGGATAGAGTTAATTTTCTTCCTAGTAGCTGGTACAGTGCTGTGGTTTGGATTTAGCATGAGAATAATGTGATAACAGACTGATATTTTAGTTGTTGCTAAGCAGTGCTTATACTAAGTCAAGGACTTTTCGGCTTCCCATGCTCTGCCAGTGAAAAGGTGCACAAGAAGCCGGGAGGGGGCACAGCCAGGACAGCTGACCCAAACTGGCCAGAGGGACATTCCATACCATGGGACGTCATGCTCAGCACATAAAGCTGGGGAAAGTTGGCCAGGGGAGCCGCTGCTCGGGGACTGGTTGGGCATCGGTCGGCTGATGGTGAGCAATTGCACTGTGCATCACTTGCTTTGCATATTCTTTTACTCTTATTGCTATTATTAGTACTATTTTATTTTATTTCAATTATTAAACTGTTCTTATCTCAGCCCACAAGTTTTCTCACTTTTACTCTTCCAATTCTCTCCCCCACCCCACTGGGGCAGGGGGAGTGAACGAGCGGCTGGGTGGTGCTCTGTTGCCAGCTGAGGTTGAACCACGACATTCCCACTTGTGCATATTCATTTTCAATAGTCTTTATCAACATGAGGAATATAAAAGCAGATTGGGAAACATGTTGCCATCCAATAGTTATCTCTATGGAGGCAAAAAAATTATGGTATTTTACAATATTTTGATGGATTTAATGGATAGCATTATGCTAATATTGCTCTTTGCATTGTTTTATGAAACACTTCACTTTATATTCTTATAAACTGGTAAATTGCTGGTACTACTATTTACAAAGTGTGTGAAACATTTTCAGGTTTTTGGCTTTACCTGCACAGACACAAAACATGAACAGTTCTTCTATGAACCAACAGAACAATTTGAGTATGAAGCAGTTATACAGGCAGAACAAAATGTTCAATTATTGCACTCATACTAGTCTAAGAAAAGACACTGCAGAGAGTAATTTCATAAAGTACTAAGATTATTTTATATTGCATTGCAGACAAACTTTGCTAAAAAAATTTCCCTATGCAGGTAACAGGAATGCAGGTAGAATTCTTCACTAATAGTATAAAATCCCCTTTTTTAACCAGTATTTTTTGGTGTATTCAACTCATCACAGGTGGGATCCAACAGTACCAGAGTGAAAACACTGAACCTGGATTTGAACTCACTGCATTGATGAATCCGTTTTCATTTTTCACCTTAATGGCTGAATGTAATTTTGCTGGTTTGTACCTTTCTTATCCAGGTAAAAAACAAGCTTTGCATGTATTTTAGACAGACTTTTTAGCTTTGACTGCTGAACTATTTAAAATTGAGCCCTTTTTTTTTTTAATATATATGATCCCTGAGTTCATAATGTATTTGGGGCATTTCTTT